TCTTTTATACTCTTAGATTTCGTGAACGGTTACAGGGGATTTTTTTCTGCATTTGGTAACAATGGAAAGTTCCTGGCATGAGAAACATGCATATAGTCTCTGAGAGGAAATGAAAATGTGATGAGGATTTGATTAATTTAACCTCCTGATCCATATGATTCCAGAAGGAAATATTAGAAATAACAGGAACATTGCTGTAATCAGATGGATTAGTTTGACTTGACATTTTTGAATAATTCCATTTTGACTCTGGTATATGTAAGCTACTCTCCTTTCACTTAATTCAGATTGAATGATCAAAGACATGGTATTAATATTGATTACTGCATTTTTTTCTGGCCTGCACCTTTGTACTAGCAAGGACAGGTACCCCTCCAATCCGGCTTTTTAAAAAGAAGGTTGTTCTTAATATTCATAATGAAATTAGGAATAATTTAAATTATTTCAGATAACTATTATGTGTATTTGATTTCTGTGTGATTGATCCTCTCTGGTTGGGAAAGAATGATATTTAAGTGTACATTTACTTTACAAACAAAGATAGCAAAAATGAGAGCATAATCTTAGATGATGCATATAATAGTGGAAAATTTTCAACAACTTGACTGGATACACTTTAAAAAAATCACATATGTACCTCTCATTCAAAAGATATGAAACAGATTCACCCCAGGTGTAAATGAGAACATTTTTGTTGACTTTATTGGAATTGCTTCCTCTTATACCTCTGGCTCATAAATTACTCTATCTTTAGTAATCTAATCTAGAACACAAAGTACCCAGAGGTAGACACCCCTCGTTCCTCCCCACCCCCACAAAAAAGGTGAGGTGCTGCATCATTGAGCATTGCTACATAGCTGAGCATTGCTTTGTATAACTTTTCAAAAGCAGGACCTCAGAGTGAAATCTAAAAGCCTGACAAAGCATCTGAACACCATATATACTTTAGGAGAGGGGAGGAGATCTAAAACATCCAGTAGACTTAACAGAGATCTACTTAAGGTCAACATATTCTATACAGAACTGCCTTAACCTGGCTCATACAGAAATGTTGTGGATCAGGGTGTATTTTCACTTCCAGCCCTCTCCAAGGACTAGATGATTCATTCAGGGAGGCAAGGGGGTGCTTCCTTCCACCAACGATCTGCAATCTGAATTCATTTTCTGAAAATAGACACTTGCAGCCTTTCTTTTAATAATTGAATGGTTGTAGGGGGGTCACTTTTAAAGCATGGGTATTGCTGTCTCCCCAGTTTTTTACAGTTTTCCAGTAGGCAAAGCATTGCCTCAGAGGATTCAAAACTCCCCCAAACCTGACCACTCCCACCTAAATGGAGGTTACCAGAACACTAAGTTGCTCAATAATTTAGCTTTTAGACAGGCCCTGTGCCAGAAGAATCTTCTAATAATGATATTTTTCAGGTTTATAAGTTCTTTTTGATAGTAAAATGACCATACCAGGAACAATGATCTCATGCCAAGTGTTTCTGTACTAAAGTAGGAAACAAGTACATTTGTAAGAAGAAATATTGCAAACCTATGAATTGCCTAAAGTGACGGCTCTGATCAAATAGTGATTTTTTGCAGAATTAGCAGTTGGCTCTTATTGCCTGAAGGATTTCCACATGAACTGAAAACATTTGCTAAACAACATAATAAGCTAATGATTGCTTAATTTTTTAATGTATCGCTCAGAGTAGAGAGCATAACAGCTGGTGTTTGTCAAATTAGGTTTTCTTTTTAAGATTTTTACTATTCATTTTCTTGTTTATGTAACATACTTAGCCATGATTGAGCTCTAAAGGTCTTCCCCTAAGCTTATTTTAGTTGAAGGTAAATGTAATGTAGGTGCACCCAACCTCCCTCTGTGGAAGTCCTCTTTAAATCATTGGCAGTTCTCTGCATACAGTGCTTTTAGGACTACAGTTTCTAATAGCATTTTGAAACTGTTGCCAATTTCATGCAGGAGGGTAGTCCTATAGTGACAAATAACATTAAACAAACAATTTTATTTTATTTTAATTTATTTTTCTTTTAAATTTTAAATGATACACTCAGGTTTTACAGTTGAGCACTAAAAAGTTAGCAAAAACTGGAGTCAGGGTCCCTTTCCAAACTCTGCAAGGTGTTGTGGACTAATGGCTACAGGCATCTTAGCCAAGCACACAAATTTAGCACATTTGTGTTGGAAGTGTAACTGACTACAGATGAGACTTGCCATAGTAGGTATGCGCTAGGTAGGTATTACTGTCATGCCTTGCACAACTTCTTGATTATCTGGTATGTGAAAGGGAGAAATGAAACTTACTTACCTTATTGCTCAGTTAAAAAACATAGCAGAATACATAGATCAGTGGTTCCTCAATCCTTTTAGACTCATAAATTCATAGATTGTAAGGCTGGAAGGGACCTCAGAAGATCGTCAGGTCCAGTCCCCTGCAGCAAGCAGGAAAGATAACTGGGGGTCTGGTGACCCCAGAAAGGAGACTGTCTAGTCTCCTCTTGAAGATCTCCAGGGTAGGTGGCTGCAGCACCTCTAGAGGGAGTTTATTCCACAGTCTGGACACTTTGACTGTGAAGAAGTTTTTCCTAATGTTGAGCCTGAATCAATCTTCCAGGAGTTTGTGGCCATTACTCCTGGTTTTCGTCTTGGGTGCCCTGGTGAACAGTTGATTTCTGAGCCCTTGATGTACTCCTCTAGTGTAGCAGTAAGCTGCTACCAGGTCCCCTCTCAGCCTTCTTTTCCTGAGGCTGAAGTGTCCCAGACCCCTGAGCCTTTCCTTATATGGCTTGCCTTTTAAGGCTCTGATCATATGGGTGGCATTTCTTTGGACTCTCTCAAGCTTGTCCACATCCTTGTTAAAGTGTGGTGCCCAGAACTGGCCACAGTACTCCAGCTGTGGCCTCATCAGTGCTGAGCAGAGCAGAAGAATCACCTCCTTGGTTTTGCTGGAGATGCACTGATTGATTCATGCCAGAGTATTTGCCCTACTGGCTACAGCATCACACTGCCGGCTCATATTAATACTGTGGTCTATTATTACCCTTCAGGTCCCTTTCATTTGTGGTGCTAGTCAGTTTGGTGCTGCCAACCTTGTAGGTGTGTTGGGGGTTGCTTGTCCCAAGGTGGAGCACTTTACATTTCTCGATGTTGAACTTTATCAGGTTCCACTCCTCCCAACTTGCTAACCTGTCTAGGTCCGCATGTAACTGTAGCCTATCTTCAAGCATGACCATGCTTCCTCATAACTTGGTGTCACCCACGAACTTGGCCAGTGAACTCTTCACCCCCACATCCAAATTGTTAATTACAAGGTTGAAAAGTACTGGACCAAGCACTGACCCCTGCAGGAAACCACTTCCCACTTCTCATGAGGATGACAGATCTGTTCACTACGACTCTCTGGGTCCTATCCTGCAGCCAGTTTCTCACCCACCTGACTGTCTTGGAGTTATCCCACAATCTTCCAATTTTCTTGCGAGGACATCATGAGATACTAGGTTAAAGGCCTTTTGGAAGTCAAGGTATACAATGTCAACCTGCTCTCTCATGTCCAGGTGGTGAGTTACCTGGTCACAGAAGGAGATGAGGCTGGTAAGACAAGACCTGCCCGTGATGAAGCCATGCTGCCTGTCATTTAGAATCTTACCTTCTGCAAGCTTATCACAGATAGACTCCTCGATGAACTTTTCTAGGACTTTCCCTAGGATGGAAGTTAGGCTGATTGGCTTATAGTTACTGGGTCCTCCCTCCTGCCCTACATGTGGATGGGTACAATACTCGAGGCACCCCTCAATAGGTGTAAGGTACCCCCAGTTTAGTTTTCACTTGGTTTTTGAATACAAACAAATAATAGGGCAGTTTTGCAAAGAACTCAGAAGAACCACAACAGGTCAGAATGTTTTTGATGCTATGGATTCCTCTTTGAAGTGTCAGGGCATGTCCAGATGAATGCAGACGTGCAGTATGTGGCACCTCAGACCCATCTGCAGCACCACATACCACACGTGCAGGCCTTCCTCATGCTGCTACTTTACAGTGGGGGTGGAGGGGAGGTGTTGATCCCAGGATATCCCAGAGTCAAAGAAAACCATGCCAGAAAAAAGTGGGTTGGTGCATGTGGCGGCAGCGTGCACCACCCAAAACTGGAGCATGGTCGGCTGGAGCCATACTCCAGCTGCTGGCCAGGTTTCCTGCTATGGCTGCAGGTCTCAGAGGCCCCCAGGACCCTAGATAAGGCTGCCGGGGCTGCTGGGGCCAGCGCAAGGTGTGCCACTGCTACTTTTCTCCAGGGAAATGAACATTGCAAGTATGGTCAGCTAAACTGTCAGTAGAAAGTTTCATAGGGATGGAACATGCTGTTGCTTTAGAGCATATTCCACAATATGTTTGAAGTTTCTTTCATTACTTTTTTAAGTTAGAAGCTTTTCACTTGAATTGTAGTAACTATAATTATTGTTACATTATGTATACCAACATTGTTTTCCGACCATGAACTAGTTTAGTATGTACCGATCATTCCACATTATCAGTACCAACATATTTAAAGGTGTGTCCATTTTCTTTTTATTATAAAACTGCACAAAACAAATTGTCGAAGGGGGAAGGGTTATGGAGTAGTAGCTATGAAGTTTGTAATTTTCATGCCTTATAGGGATCTGCATTCACTTGTTGGACTAGAGTCTGGACAAGACACTGTATGAAGTATCTTTAATACTGTGCAAAATGACACATACCATCTATAATGTATTGACAAGGGACTCCCGAGTACCCTGAAAGTCTCAAATTCAGTTGGATGACTGGGTGTACAGACAGCAGAGAACCACATCAAGTAATAGAAAGAGACATATTTTCATCTCTTATATTATAAAAGCTGGGAAAATTATGTTGTTTGAATACAAGCTGTCTTAACTTGCCAACAAATAATTGTTTCTGATAAAATAATAATAATAATAAGAATAAGAATAATAATACCTAACTATATTTAACTCTTCCACAGGTGGTTGCCAGAATAGCCTTAAACAAGTTGGCAGTAATCAGACAATTGCATTAGCTGCTGCAGCAGCAGCAGCTATGGTGTCAGTAGATTCAGAGGCACCTCAGGGACCATCACCGACCAGCATTCAACCTTGTCACGTGCTGACTGTTTCGCCCATCAAGATACCAGTTTTGACTTCACCTTTTCCAGGTAAGAGATGTCTTTTTGCTACCAGTTAGCAACTTTTATTCAATCTTCAGCATAAAGGGATTGTGCCGTGTGTGATTGTTTGTTACAAATGCTCTTTGTTTAATGGTTGTCGGGCATGTCTACTATGGCTGTGCGAGTTGGCAGCAATCCGATCCAGCTTTGGATCTGGTCACTGGATGGCCACGATCCAATCTGGAGCTCTGGACCAGGTTTCTGCCTCGATCCGCCCGAAGCGGCTCCGAACCTTTGGAGCCACCTCGGAAAGCTGACCATAGGGTATAATGGGGAATCAATGGAAGATCTGTAACTCTGTGGTTTTTTGTTTTATTTGGATGAAACCTGCAGGGATGGTAGACTCTGCTAAGGGCATGAAGCCTGCCAAGTTTCAAGAAGATCAATGTAGGGGTTTGGAGAGAACTGTACCCCAAATCCTTGAAAGCAAAGCTCCTGTCACGTCTCTGTGTTACAACACAGGGGGGTCAAAACTGCAGGGGTGGTAGCTCTTACTGAGGCCACAAAGCCTGCCAGCTCTGAGTGTGTCTCCTAGAGCAGGCCTGAGTGAGTGCTGGGCCCTGCCAGGCCAGGCCACAAAGCCTACCTGCCAGCTGTGTGTGTCTCATTGGGGGAGTCTGTTGTTTGGGGCCCTGCACCCCAAGCTGCTGACAGGCAAAACTTGTGATGTGGGTGGGTGACACTGTGTGTGTGTTAAGGTGAGCCCTTCCTGGTGCTGGGGCCTCTGCACAACATGGCAGTGTGCCCCAGTGAGGTCTCCTCCTCCCCTACAGCCTCATGCCTGGTCCTCCGCTTTACGTGACAACAGGTAAAATAACTTAGCTGGCTCAACACCAGTAGCATCAGCAGCAGCATCAAAGGTACCCAAATGAAACTGTCACAGAGCCTATCGTTTTATAAAGGAATTAACAGGAAGAAGTAAAGATGTTGTGTTGTGTTGGACATGATGTTACTTATGGTCTGTAATGGCTTATCTTGTGTTTTTATGTCTATATATGAAAAAAAGGAGTACTTAAAAACAATGTATCTTTGGAAGCTTTAGGGTTGAAAACCCCTTCGTCAGGCTGAGGAAGTACCTGTAGTTCTTCCTGGATGGAAGGAATAGTAAAGAAGCCAGAGGCTGGCCTGGCCCACAATGCAGGCAAGAAAGCCAGTCAGTGAAAATGGAAATGAAGTTGGCAGCAGGGGAGGGACAGGCTGGGTTTGGGGGTAAGGGGGAAAGGGGGGTGTAGCAGTGCAGGTAAAAGTGCAGAGGTGCCTGGGGTGTCAGATGTCCGGCAGGTCGCAGTGTGCCAGAACTCCACTGTGTATATTGAGTCCATGAGTTTCTGTACCTACTACCTAGGAGGCTGTTGAAGTGCAGTTCATAGGCCCAGCTCTGAAAAGTGGTTTGTACATTCAAACAAGCACCTGACCTCATCACCAGTACTGAATCCAACTTCCTACAGCTCAAAACACAAAACCTGCCAACTATTTCCAGTACCCCCCAAACTGCACACCAGAATCTATCTATGCTGAGCTCTGCATGTTTCTCCCACAGCATCTTGCCCCCCTTGACGCTGCAGTGGAAGTAGCCTGACACCTTCCTGCATTTCGTAATCAGCTGGCTTGTAGCAGTACTGGTGGCAGTGCCATCACTGGCAGCCCTGTCCCCCTCAAAGGCATCCCTTGCTATTAGGTGCAGCCTGTGTGCCACACAGCAGATGCTAACAAAGTTGGCATTACGGACAGCCTTCACCATATTGGTTCTGTTGTCAGTGACCATGAACCCACCCGTGAGCTTGGTCTGCCCAACAATGCACCCCTGCACCATGAGGTTCATGGCCCCCATGATCTCCCTTGCCATGTGGGACTCATCCAGCACCTCAGCTTGCAGTAGAGCCCTCTGATGACCTGACTGATCACTCCAGTGCCCTGCGAGGGAGAGGTAGGCATGATCGCCACCCCAGCTGCTCCAGATGTCCGAGGTGAAGTGCAAGGCTACCTGGGGCCCTGCTTTGTGCAGCTCCTCCCTCAAGTACTCCCTGCATGCCTGATACAGGGAGGGTACCACTGCCCTGCTAAAGGTGGTGCATGTGGGCACTTTGTAAAATGGAGCCAGAAGTGTTACGAACTGCCTGAACCCTGGTTGCTCAACTAGGAAGAAGGGCTGGCTATCCAGAGCAAGCATCTCCCCAATGCTCTGGGTGATCTCGCATGTCTTGGCAACGTGCCCCCCTTTCTGTCCACCTTTCCCCCACTGGTCCAGGGTGGCCTGCCTCTGCTTTGGGGGTAAGGGGGTTTTGGAGCAAGCAGGGGACTTCCCTTTCAGCACACTCGCACTGGTGCCAGGCTGAGCAGCAGGAAGGAAGGCAAGGGGGTGGTGCATCTTCAGATGCAGCAGCATTGCCGTGGTGGAGAAGTGTCTCACGTCCTTGCCACGGCTCATGTGCCTTCAGCAGTGTGGGCAGATGGCAAACCTGGGATCATCTTCAACCTAAAAGTGCTCCCACACTACACTACTCCCGCGCTTCTGGGTTGAGGGCGAGGATCCTTCCTTTTCCCCCTTCTCAGCAGGCTGAGGCTGAACAGCAGGAGGAGCTGCCTCCGCTGAGCCACTTGCCTCCACAACCTCCTCCTCCTCCGAGGTGCTGCTTTCCGGAGGAGACCTGGGTCTAGGGGAAACATGAGGGGTGTGGAGCACAAACTCTAATTCCCCCTCAGTCCCCCGAGTTGCCTGAGCCAGCATGCTCAGCATCCCTGATTCAAGCTCCAGCTCCTCCTCTGGCAGTGGGGGGCTCACACTGAGAGCTGAAATTGGGGTGGAAGAGGCAGTAGTTCCACTGCTGGTACCCACTTCTGGGCTGAGCAGAGGTGGTGCAGGTGCAGGGATATTAAATGCAGACACTGCTCCCATCGCCTGGCTTCTACTGGCAGCACTGATGTCATGGCTGCTTGGGAATAGAATGTGTCTATGTTTGGGACGGGGGGGACTTGCAGCTTCAGCTCTCTCCTTACCCCCTCTCCCTCCCCTGCCAAAAGACCTGGCACCTGCCTTTCCAGCACGCTTCATATTGATCTTTCCTGTGCTGCAGAAGGTCTGTGTGTGTGTGAATCCTTTTGTATATCTGTCTGTCTTGTTCTCCTGTGAATACCTGTGTCTATCTTGTCCTGTGAATAAAATTATTTGTGTGTCTTCTTTGTGGGTCTCACTATATTGTCTCTTCAGTTCTGAATGAAATTGTGTCTTCTTCCTGGCTCTCACAATATTGTCTATCTTGTGGTGTGAATGAAATTATTTGCATGTGTTCCTGTGTCTCAATGTATTATCTGTGTCTTGCTCTTCTGTAAATATCTGTCTGTCTTCTTCCGCTGTGATTTTTTTCCTATATTCTGGGTCTCTGCGTATGTGAGTCCATGTGTGCGTGCATGTATGCGTGTCTGCAAGCAAGCAATTTGTGCCTCCCTGCACAGTGATAGATAACATTGGCTGGGAAAACACAAATGTCTTTTTGCAAAGTTTCCAAAACAAGTTCCCAAAAAATTATTCAAAGAAATAAATTGAATTGTAATACTACTAATAATTTAATTGAATTGAATAGCTAGGCTAAACTAAGCTAAGCTGAGCTAAATCCTAACCACTCCTTTATAATATGAAAAAGCAGCAGGTAGGTCCAAAACGCTTCAGATGCCCCCGACCCACTCCGGACACCATTACTGGTATCCTACTTCAACCTGGAAGTGCTGCTTCGGACTCTGAAGCATCTGAAGTGGGTCTGGATCCGAAGTGGGATCCAAAGACTTGCGCAGCCCTAATGTCTACACATGTGATTTAATGTGGATTAGTCTATGTTAATGCACATTAAAGCATCACAAAATACTGCATTTCACTAATGCATCTTTTTCTAATACCTCACAATAGAGGTACTAAATTTAATGTGCATATACACGCTAAATTTAATGTGCAAACACACATAAATGAATTTGTAGCTATGCTCATTGAGTGGTAATTTAATTTTCCAATATATGTACATAGATATATAATATATTCTCAGATTTAAAATATTATTCATTATTCTGTTGGGCGTGGGTTTTAAGTGACCTGAATTTTTCTAAAAGTAGACTAAAATAGGGTGAATAGTCTAATTTAAATGTACAAATGAAAGGAAATTTGGATGTGAGTTTGAAACTCGGAAACTTATTTCACTTCACACAGGTTTGTGATTCACATGCATTATAGAAATATGTGACCAAAATATGAATTGAATCTCTTCTTGTGCCATCCTTTTATCTTCCGTGGTAAATTTTTGTAAGTGGGTTGTTAGTTCAAGGCAGCATGAATCTTCATACTATAATGACTTATTCCATGGGCGACTGGTGCTGCCTTAGTCAGGGGGGGCCTGTGCCCAGTCCTGTCAATCGGGGGAGGGGTCCTATGGACGATCCTGCAACAGCCAATCACTACAGCCACTTCCAAGAGTGGGAGCTGTGCTGGTGGATCACTGCAGCCGCTCCCAGAAGTGGCTGCAGCCACTCTCGGAAGCAGCTGCAGCAATCGCAGTGATCAGCCGGCACTTGCAGGGGGAACACCGGTGCTCCTGCCTGCCCTCCCTGCTCATCACCTAAGTGGTGAGCACAGCTGGTCAGGGGGTGCACCAGCACTCTCAGGGGGCGCAAATGCACCCCTGTGCACCCTCTACGTGTTGCCACTGACTTATTCCTGGGGCATGTCCCCTCTGGGATATGGTAAAAGTTGCATTTTAATAAAGTAGCTTCAGGTTTTTGTGAGCTCATCGAATACATTCAAAAGAATGCATTATATATGGTGGTTGTATTTTTCCTGCCAAAGTGTGTTAATATGGCTACCTAAGAAAAAATACTCTATTTAACATGGCATCATTTCCCATTCCTATGTCTAACCAGGCATAGAGCCAACTTTCTGCTACCCTAGCTCTGAGTATGATATGTACACAATTAGGCCCTTAAATCTCTGGAATTATTGGTGTAAG